TATAGTTCCTAAGTGATGAAATATGACCGGAGTTGGAGAAGCAACCATTTATAGACTTTTGAAGCAACGAAATGAAGGAAGTATCACAGTATTGCCTAGAACGTCAACTGGGAGAAAGCCCTTTGAAATAGGCACTATGAAACAACTGATCCGAAGAAAATTGCATTCGTTTTGTTTACAAAAAAAAACCTACTTTGGATAAACTTTTAGTAGACATTAATGGAGACGAAATTTTGCCAAACATTAAAAGAGACAAATTGTGGAAAAGTTTACATGAATTAGACTTTATTTGGGAGAAAAACGATAGAAAATCTGCGCTCATAGAGAAAGATAAAACTATTTGTTGAAGGAGGCAATATTTAAGGGAAATTAGATAATTAGGAAGAGAAGACAAAAATATTTTTTATTTGGATGAAACATGGATAAATGAAGGGACTTTTCTAAAAAAAAGTTTGGCAAGATAAACGGGTTACAAATGCTCGTCAAGCATTTATAGAACATTTGTCTACTGGCTTAAACTTTCCAAATGGTAAAGGTCGCCGTTTAATTATCACTCATATTAGAGGAGATAAAGGATTTGTTGATACAGGCTTGTTAGAATTTGTTTCAAATTCTACGAAAGACTACCATGAAGAAATAACTGCTGATGCTTTTGAGGAATATTTCAGTCAATTGATAGATTTATTACCGACCAATTCTGTAATAGTTATAGACAATGCCAGTTACCATTAAAGATTAAAGGAACCGTTAACTAACACTAAATAGAAAAAGCAAGAACTCTCCGATTGGCTAATAATTAAAGAAATAGTAGCAGAAGAGAGATTATTCAAAAAAGCGCTATTGCAACATTCACCAAAATTTAAAAAGTATAGTGTTAATGAAATAGCAAAAGAACATGGAGTGTTGCTGTTACCACCTTATCACTGTAAACTTAACCCCATTGAACTTATCTGGGCTCAAATGAAGGGATATGTCGCGAGAAACAATATTTAAAGTTCAAGATGTTCGTCAACTATTATGTGACTCCATATCAAAAATTTCACTGGACAATTGGCAAAACGCTATAAGCCATGTCATAGCAGAGGAAAATTCTAGAAACTTGATATGTTAATAGAGGAAACAACAGAACCAATTAACATTTTTGTGGGAAGTGAGGAAAAACGTTTTTACTTTAATTTATTAAAATAAACAACTATAAAATATAAAGACCAAATGCTGTAAGTAAACTTAAGTTAACAAATAAAGACCGACAAAATTTAACAAGCGTGCTAAATTAACTTCTTAAGCATGGTAGAAACTCCTCAAGCTGTGATTCCATAATTGATTCTGGATGGCACTTCCGGCAAAGTAAAATAGACAAATATGGTGCAACTTTAAACTTTTAATTAAGTTACTCATTTGAAAAAATTTAAAATTCAACAATTTACGTACATTTAGACACTTAGTCACTTAGTTCATCCACTTTACCTACGATAATAATTCCTTCCTGTGTTTCTAGGGATTATATCCACAGATTCGCCAGTAGGCGCCAAACCCAAATTGCCGTCAGGAGGTAGGTGGAAAATCTGAGGGACCACTCGTGTATCTATTTAGAAGTAAAGGACGAAACAAAGAGACAGCGAACAAGGGAAAAACAGAAAGAAGAAATAGACTGAGAAATGTTTCGTGGAAATATGGAAATAAGACCAGATGAAATTGAGATGCACAACACAAACAAACTAGAAAAGTGGCAGAGAATCAAAGAGGATGCCATATTGGTGAACACCAAAAATAGAATGAAAGAGAAATGAGTGTATAGGGCAGATAAGAAGAAAAGAGAGAATGCAGAAATGAAATGCAACAGAAGAACAAAAGACGGAAAATGTGCGGTTATAAAAGAAATACAAAATATTTGCGAAGATTAATAAATGAAAACACTGGCTACAATTTCGAAACCAACCGGCTGTGCGTGCACGTGCCGGTAGAAGAAGCAAAATTGGAAATTATCCTCCTAGTGATGTTAAAAATATATTTGCATGGCTCCAGGCCACACAGGTTAGGTAAATTATTATTTGTTTTACAGAAAATTTTATATTGAAGTTTGACATTTTTACAAAACTATTGCTAAATTGGAATAGTTGAATATATAAATCTTTTAAATTTGCTGATGAAAGTTTTAGTTCCCTGTTTAAGCAAAATTAATGGATCGATTCGTTTTCTTTGATTCATATAGACACACCCTGTATCAACAATAATAATTTTTCATTATCATTATATTATCACTAAACAAATATCACCATTTGATTTGTTATTTATTCAACAGGAATTTAGTAATTTGGAAAAATTAAATAGTTAGTTATTGAGTTACGTGCTGGCCAATTAGAGACATTTAACTACTTTGTATGGGGAACCAGATTGAAAAAAATTTTATTGGTCAACGTTCTGACTTTATTGTCGATATTTATATTATGGTTGATCGCCCAGCATGGGTTTGAAATACCTAAGAAGTTGATGTTAATATTAATATACGACTATATGTAAATTTTAAAACAAATACTGGAGCTAATAGGACGATTTCATTTGATAATTTTACAGATTCTTTTTCTTTGACTGCTTAATGACATATTCTTTTATATACTGTCCACAACGTGGTTTTACGGGCCCTGACAGATGCAACTCACTCGCCGTGTATGAATCAGTTTTCGTATCTAATTGTTTTATTTTAAAATGTAATTAATGTAGTAATTTATTGCCCAAGCTATGTAGGGTAAAACATTTTTAAGGTTGACCAACTGCATATAAAATTAAAATAGTTAAAAAAGAGAAAAAATACATTATACAAACTATCAAATCCATTAACATTCTGTTTCGGCTTTTAAGTCCAAAAATTATTTACCAGTCTAAAATTTCTTTTGCAAAAGACGTTGACTGTGGGAATGGAGAAAACAAATCAAATTATTTTCTTTAAATTTACAAAATCAATAGAAATGTTTGTTCAAAAAAAATTATCTTAGATTTTATCATTTAGAAAGTCTTTTGGAAGGAGCTCAAAAACAGTGCTCAGTGCGTAGCTTGAAAACTGAAACTCTTCGGGGAATATATTCACTTTATTTTCACTTTCCCAAAAAATTGGTATTCTTGAAATAACGTGAAAGCCAAGGGACTGAAAGTTTTGGTACGATAACGACGCAAGGGGTGAGTAGCAAATGGTAGATTTAATGTCCAGAAACTAGAAAATGTCAGACCTAAAATCATAGCTGTTCGTCTAGATGAATAGCTAATGAATCTTGGATTTTTCCGTTTAGTCCGCGGATAACTTTTCTCTCTTGCTGACTATTGCGACGGAAACAAGAGACCGAAATACAATGACCACTTGCCAAATTTGTTATAAAGAAGTAGGAAAAGGGAAAAGTGATAAAAAAAATATACAAAAATGGATGAGCGTTCTTCCATAAAAGCAACAGGAGCATCTGTGTGCCTCTTTGTTCTCCCAAAAAATTGACAACTTGAAATGTATGCTAGCCGATTCCCAGAAATACGTAAGCTTGAGTACACAGGGCCACAAGAAAACCATTTTGCTGAAAGTGTCAGACAAACCTAAAATGTTCTCAGCTGAAAGCTTGAATACCTATCAAGTAGAATCTGGTGTTTCGGGGAAGCAAATTAAAAATTTAATCCATTCTATTAGGCTCAATATTGGAAGGAAAGCAGTTCCAGCTTACTATTCTATTGATGTTTCAAAACAGGCCAAGTTATTAGAAGATTTATACAATCATGATATTTTGGAATTTGATGTTGAAATAAGTCTTGTAAAGCAGCGAAGACCTGTAATTTGGGGCACTGCTGAAAAATTTTTAAAGAATCTAATAGATAGACGAAACTTAATTGTAGATTACGGGATTAAAGTCATTGCTGACGGCGGACAAGGGTTTTTCAAAATATGCATGTCAGTGATTCCTAAAAGTTATGTTTCTGATTATTTGAGTTATGGATTATAATGTTGGCTAAAGATCAACGATATTTCCATGAAATTTGTTTCTGACTTGAAGTTGCTACTTCTTGTGAATGGGCAACAAACGGCTACATCTCTATCCATTAGGTCACAAGATTTACGAGATCTCAAGCATCTAGAAGATCAAAGATCATGTTGGCCCAGAGAAGAATGATGAATCCTTCAAATGGTGACATTTTGTATATTTTCGATTTCAAGAGAAAATATTTTTTCACCTTTTGATGTCTACAATCGAATTTGACCCAGGTAAAATATTTTATCCGTTGTCACGCCTTTTCATTGTGTACCGACTTTTTCCGGCAAGTCAGAAAAGAGCTTTTCATCGGTGTTATTATTTTTCAATTCCAGGAATCCCTCATGTTTACTTTTCTGTCATCCTTGCGCTAACCATAGTAAGTACTCGCGATTTTTTCATTGTACTGTTTACAAAATCAGTCGGTTAGGGCTCTCTTATACCCTGAAACCTCTCTGCTGTTCAGTTATGCAAATTACTTTGTGATCACCAGCCGATTATGTATGAAAAAATTGTTGACGTGAACTAATATTTTCTACTATGGCTGACCACAAGTGTCCGCACGACGAGAACAGAAAAAATGTGTGCCCCTTGCGGGAAAAAATACTTGTGGCACAAAAAATTAGAATACTTTCTGATAAGCGAGCGACGTTTAAACTTGGTAAAAAGTTTTCAAATCCAAATTATAATCTTTGTGATTCCAAATTCTCTGTGAGTGTTTGTGACAGCTGCAAAAGAACTCTCAACAGCTATGACAAGAATGATACTACGAGACCACTCCCAAAAACGCTAAATTATTACCAAAAGCAACTAGAAATACTCAAGACACCTGTAATTGCTACATCTGTCTCACGAGGAAATTAAAAGGCCATGCAAAAACTATAACGGGCAGAAGTGCCATGCGGAACTTAGAGACGGTAATAGATAGCAGTAATGGACTAAATGGCGTATCTAAAATTGACAAACTGCCGTGCAAATTAAAAAAAAAAGAGCATCATGAACGTTTGCAAAATATGTTTCCAAGAAGTTGGGCGGGGAAAGGTACAGCCCTGTGGCTCTGCATCAGTTGCTCGTGATAATTGTCAAAAACTAATGGTCAATAATGTGCCTTACAAACAACAAAAACAAGTTGCTTCGGACAATATAAATTGGAAAATAGAATCAACTGGAGCTAATAGCAGAACAAATGTTGACTTGGAATTGAGTACGTTGGGGTCAAAATCCAGAATTACCATCAATCCAGCCTCAAGTTCACAAGTAACTTTCAGTTCTGATACGTTAGATAATATCTAAGACAATATTGGGGCCTCACAGAGACAAATGAAACAGTTCACAATATCCTGCGATCGTCTGCTGGAAAAAAATCTGTACCAGCGCATTTTTCCAAAAAGGACGTTTACCACAATTCTTTGCTCATTTTCGATATTGAAGGTTCCAAGCCAAGGGAGCAAAGACCTGTCATTTGGGTGAATGTATCAGAATTATTGGATGCTGTCGTTGAAAAGTGGAATATTATTGGCAATGAAAATTATGGCCGACGGAGGTCAAGGGTTTTTCAAGATCTGTATGACCATTTTGCCTGAAGGTTACTTTTGTCTGTCATAACAAAAGTTGATAGTAAAGTTGAAGGTAAAGATGGTGAAAATTATAAAGTCTTGAAGAAAAAAGGAAAACTGTACGCAGAACGGGGTAGTGTGGGTGTAAAACCAAAATTGGGCAGTGTGAATAGATTGATGATGCTATGCACTGTGCCAAACATCAAGGAATCTTACGATAATTGCAAACTTCTATTTGATTTGGTTAAAATCAATTACATCTCTTTCAAATTTGTTTGCGATTTCAAGCTGTCTATTTCAAATTTGTTTGCGATTTCAAGCTGTTACTATTGATTAACGGGCAGCAGACAGTTACATCATCTCACCCCTGTCCATTTTGTTTTTTCAGTCTAAAAACCTTGCGAAATTGCCAACAACTTGATGATAAGCAACACAACTCGGATTGGGACGAACAAGATTCCGATGCTGAGATAGATAATAGTGATCAGTTCTTGAGATTGAAAACTTATGGAAATTTAAAAAGAGATTATAGTAGGTTTCTTTCTGCTGGAAACACTAAAAAATTTGCCGAAGAATACCATAGCACAATAAATGCTCCACTTTTGAGCGAGAATGACGACCGTTTAGTCATTGAAAAATGTGTAATCACAGAACTTTTTTTGGAAAGGATTAGTGTCTCTGCTTGGAAGAGAGAAGGCACTCGTCTAGGCACGAAAAGTCCAAGTGATTTCCAAAAATTACCATGGGGAAGTGTTTGAAGGTAATGCGTGCCGGAAATTATTAAAAAATGCTGATAAACTCAACGATGAAGCTATCTACGGCCATGTTGGGTATTTCAACATTCTGCCCTTTATCCATGCTTTTAAAGAGATGAATAAACTTGTAGGGTGCTGTTTTTCCAGAGGCCCAGTTCATTCAGACATAGAAAAAAGAGTAAGTGAAGTGCTCAAAGCATTTTTGGCGACTGAAATTTCGGAAAAACATTGAAAATCCACGTACTGACAAGACATCTAACTGATTGTCTGAAATTTTTATCTGGCTGTGGACTAGGAGATTGATCAGAGCAAGCTGGCGAATCCGTGCACCATGAATTTTTGAAATTTTGGAACAGATATAAGATAAATTGTGTTCAATATTCTGGTTACCCAGACAAGTCAAAAAAGGCAGTTGTCGCGTTTTCTTCTCAATTTATGTTATAAATGAGCTTTATATTTTAAATTTATTTGTTGAGAGATATTTATTTTGTTATTTTTTTGATCAATTTGTTGTCAAAATAAACTATTTGTTATTTCTTGTAGTAATCAAATTTTGATAAACGTTCTGTAAGATCGTGCATAGGCAGATTTGTTTCTAAAGATTAATCTAAAGTAATTATTTTCATTGATTTTGATTTCTTTTAAGATCATATCGTTTGTGAAAAGTATCTATTTTTTAAATGTGAAAAATACAGAAAAAATATTCACAATTCCAACTGTATTTTTTTTAATAAACCCCTCCACCTCCCCCATTTACCATTCCTACTAAAATGTGTTCTAATATCTACAAAAGAAGTTCCAGAAGTATATGCTATCTTATTTCAACCGAAATTAGATTGTAGACAGTAAAAGAGAACACAAATTGGAAAAAAAAATTCTTGAAACCGAAAATATAGATAATGTCACTATTTTCATAAATGATCAGGTACGATTTCGCGCAAAAGTTTGTTTTAAAGATATCCCCCTGCAAAACAAGTTCCATTTGCCCGTTTTTAGCGGCAGTTTTTTTACATCTCTTGAAGACAGCCGTGTGTGGAAGAAGGGTAATAATTATTCTTCTATGATGCACGTGATTTTTTAAGCATTCAACTGCAGGGAGTCTTTTTTCGAGAGCAACGTTAACAATAAGAAGAGAACGATGCCGAAGCTGAATCTTTACCCTCTATAAATTCCTCATTACGTAACAGAAGCATATTTATATAAATAATTTTTAAAAATGAGTCATTTTTGACATTTACTCGTATTTGTATGCGTGTGTTTATAATTCTTCTCCTTTGATGATTTTATTTTTGTACTTATTGTGTCACCTTAGCTATAGTTCTATCGAGTGTGTATCAATGTTGCTGAGATCCAGGTCTGTGGCAGGAAAACGTCTGCCTACCGGGTCCGCTAATTATTAATTAATTTCTCTTAAAAGTGTATCATCTTGAATCAATTTTTGTTTTTTGTCTTCTCTCCTTACACTCCCATACATCCCATTCCTCCATAACTACCTTCGCGTTTCAATCTATCGTCACGATTATATTATTGTTTTTCACTTCTACTTCGTCTATTACTTCTTTTAATTTATATAAAATTCTAGCGCCTCTTCTTATTTCTTCTAGCCTTCTATTAACTTTTTTGTGTCATCAGCATCAACTGCTATGGGTACTCGTATTATCCTCGTGTTCTGTGTAAGCTTTGTCATTGTATCCCAGCACCACTTTATGAACAGCACTGTTAATTAGAATCCAACTGTGAATGGTCGAGTGGGGAATCCTAACTATGCATTAGAATACTGAATTTGTTAAATTAACTAAAAATCCTGTAAATCCTTAATTTACCTTATTATAGATTATTACCTTCTTGTTTAGTTCCTCTGTTATTATTATTATTAATATTATTATTATTATTCCTACTCCTTCCTTTGCTATTTGTTTTGCTCTTACCTCCGAGTAGTACAGTACATGTTTATTTGTTAATTGTATTTGCCCTGCTTTTTTATATTGTTTCGTTTAGTCCTAGTATCTGTACTTCATTGGTTTCAATCTCTTCAGTTATTTCTAATTCCTTTCCTAACAATAAATTTATATTCCATATACATAAGTATATTTATCCATTTACCTGCTATAACATTTATAAGTACTTTGTTATTATTATCATCTCCGCCATTACTACATTTATCATTATTATCCGATTCCCTATACCTTCATCATTTTTAATAATATTTTTTTCATCTTCATTTTCCGTTTATCCCTATTTTTAGTCCTGCATATATATCAATAACTATTGCTATTCGCATTACTAGCATCTTTACTAATATTTTCTTTGCATCTTCTTCTGTTGTTCATGCCCTCTCCTTTGCCAATTTCTGTATATTTTTCCATCCTTTCATCCAGTTTCTTAAACTTAAAACATTTTCCTCATTCGATATCCTGTTCGTCATGTTTTGCTTTTTTTGTAATAATTTTTATAATCTCTGCATTTTTAATCTCTTCGTTTATTTTTTGGTTTCATTCATTGCCCTCTTTTTCTGTTTGCCTTGTCCTAGTGTTATTCTGTTTCGCTTCTTGGATGCTAGCGTATGTTAAAAATCAAGTAAATAACAAAAAATATAGGTACATCAAAACAATTTGTATGTATATGTAATGTTAAATATAATTTTCAATGTTTCACCTCCAACTGTGACACTACTCATTTCATTATTTTTATTACATATATAAAGATCTATCTTTTCCTAAAATTAAAATTAATCTATGCAGGCATTTCAAATCGGCAGTCAAAGTAAATGTGGGAGGAAAAAATTCATTCTAGAATGAGAATGGACGTCAGGTGTATAAAATATTCTTGTCTCGTCGAGTCTCGTTTGAGTGGGAGATATAATTAGTACCTTTCAGTTGGCATTTATGTACACATAGAACAGAAGTAAAAGTTGGAAATGCTTTTGCCAGTTCTCCCACTTTAGACACATAAATTGACAGGTTGGCAGCGGATCTTACCGAAGTGGACGCGATACATTGGCGTACAAAATTATTTTATAGATGTTAATAACAATTTCGAGTAAATAGTTTAATAAATTGTGAATAGTTGTTGAAATTTTGTAAAATTATGATTTGAATATTATAATACATGTTTAATAATTATTTATAATCCATAAATACATGCGATTGTCTGGTTCCGCCGATAACAATTTAAAATTACTTATTCTATGAAACGACACTGGCAGGTAAACATTACTGCGAAATTCTCGGAGCCGCCCGACGTGGTTTGACGTTTACCCCCTCTCTACCTACCAAAAGACTTTTCAACTTTTACTTTCTCTATACCAGACCAGAGTGGTTTTGTATACGTATATAAGTCACGGATTGTTGTAAATACATAAAGAAAGGCGCGATAGCAACGCCCTCAGAACCGCCTTTCTATGCCCTGAAT